ATTAAGGAGCTTGAGGAGAGAGAGGAGTGCAGGGCAGGATCCCAACAATTAAAGGTCCTAATATTGCACTGGTCCTTAGCACACAATATAGCAATAGCATTTCACCATTTCATTGTACTGTACCTTCAATTTAAATGCTTCAATGTTAAAACTAGGAGCTAGTTACTTATTGCAATAGGCTTATTTTTCATTATCCAGATCAATACAAGTGCATGTGTTCAGAAATGGTATAACAATACCATCTGTGACATTTAGTATAGAAAAGTATTTATATTTAATAATTATTTTTCTATAATCACATTCAAATAAATGTAGCAATAGCACTGATTTATCACAGAGCCCAATACAATAACCTGGAGGATAGCGCTAGCATGCTAGCTCCAGAAACAAACTCACCAGTTCCCACTTTTAGAATATACAGTCAGCTGAAGGTTTTTTCCACAAACAGAGGCATCTGAAAGTTGAGAGGCATATCAGTCAGAAATGGCAACATAGGCATTAGATAAAGGACTTTCAATGGCTTAAAGTGTACCTACAGCAGCTAGCCTAGCCTCTCTCGTATAACCTGGTTGGAAGTGGAACGATCTGTTCCGAAAGCACGATTCATACCATGCATTCTCTGGGTGCAGACGTGGTGCACCCAGAATGGTCTTATTCTTTTGTATTGTATTATTATTATTATTATTATTATTATTATTATTATTATTATTATTATTGTATAGAGATAATGTTGAACGAAACAACTTCACTCTCCATTAACTATAAAATATTTATCTTACAAAACTAGAAAATATATACATATATTTTGAAATATTTTTATTATTTCATTTTTATTTAATTTTTTAATGTCTAATTCAAGGTGATGTGGTGAGTGGTGGGGCGATGCCCTAGCGCCCTTTATTGGCTAGCCACCAGTGGTTTATTCCCTTCACAATAAGAGCAACTTGTTTCTGTTTTTCCCTTCAGATTAAAAGTAATTTGTTTCTGTTTATTCCTTTAAGATCAATGTGTTTCTATTTTTTCTCTTCAAAATAAGAGCTTGAATCTGACCCTTTCAGGCCATCCTTTGACCCGAGCGTTCATGACGCACGGTGGTACTAATGGTTTATATGAGGCCGTGTTTCACGGTGTGCCGGTGGTCGGTGTGCCACTTTTTGGTGATCAGTCTGATAATCTGGCCCGTCTAAGTCGCCGCGGTGCTGCGGTCAATCTCCACTTCAACCATATGACAACCAAAGAGCTGATGGAGGCTTTGCATGCTGTCATCAATGAGCCAAGGTGAGCATTAAGTCACAGGAAGTAGAATTGTATTTTGAAAGTGTTCTAATGAATGTGTTCCATCTTCAAAATTACACTCCTGATTTTCTGTGAGCCCTCTTGTCCTACTTTGTATCTTTGATCTTTGCTGCACCTATTTGGTAATAAAATGTTTGTTTTTTTTTCCCCCATGATGCTCAGCTACAAGTGGAACATGCAGCGTCTGTCAGTGTTGCAGCGCGACCAGCAGGTGGCACCACTGAGCACCGCCGCCTTCTGGGTGGAGTTTGTGATGCGTCACGGTGGAGCCAAACACCTGCAGATGGCGTCCCAGAATCTGAATTGGTTCCAGTACTACAGCTTGGACACATGCACCACCCTGCTGTTCACCATGGCTGCTGGCTCCGCCCTCTGCTGGGCGGGGCTCTGCTGTTGTTTGAAGCGCTGTAGACAGCAAGCAGGAAGACAGAAGAGTGCCTGAAGATGTGGCAGAGCTTGTTTCATACTCCATCTGAAGCCGGAACGTCGCTCTCAGTTACGTAGCTGCATGACAGATGTCTCATCATTTTGTTCTGGTACTAGCTTAGCGCTGCCCCTTCTCGACACAAGACCCATTCCAAACTTTTTCTCACAGGGTGTTGAACAAGCAGTCCCCTCTCTCAGCTGGTATTGCACAATACCACTTCTCCGCCATTTTAGTAGGCAAGCGCTAAAACTGTGTTTTATTCAGTTGAAACCTTTGGATTTTTTTTTTTTATAGAATCAATGCACAATATATTTTTTGTTATATGAAATACTTGTTTACAACTGCTTTTATTCCTGTGCTGACTTCAAAAGAGCACATGAACGAAAGCTCTTTTAAACAAATTACATTTTGCTTTCCTGTGCTCTCATAAAGTCAAGTCTCATATGTCAGTCATGATATTTGTGGGCAATGAGCCTTGTCAAAATACATACATATTCAGTTTGAAACACTGTGGGATGTGTTTGCCTTTAGTTTGAATAAAACAGTTCAGCAAGTATCTCCATCTTTATTTCATTAATGGAAAGATGTCTCTGTCTCTGTCGGATCTTCAATATTGAGGAATATTTTCATTGTGATGTCACCTCTACTAGGCATTCTTCTTCTTCTTCATCTTTGGGCTTTTCCTTCTTCAGGGGTCACCACAGCGAGTCATCCTTCTCCATCTCACTCAGTCCTCTGCATCCTCTATCCTCACTTCAACTACCTCCACGTCCTCTCTAACTGCATTCATCCTGCTTCTCTTTGGCTTTCCTCTGTCTTTTTCCTGGCAGCTGCATTTCTATCATTCTTTACCAATATACCCACTGTCCCTCCTCTGGACATGTACCATCTCTATGATGGACATTTATTTCTTGGATTTGTCTTTGTAAAGTGCAGGAGAGAACTCAGTTCGAGGCATCACAGCTCAGATTACTTGGACTGCAAGTGAAGTATTGGGACCGTTGTTTTGGGTCATTTTTCGAGTTGCTTGGATCAAGTTTTTTTCCTCTCCCTCCTTCTCCTCTTCAACAATCGCTACAGTGGCAGTGGCCAAATTCTCCAGCGGCTCAATGTTGCTGATGTCCGTGTGGCTTCTGTACAAGATGGTTTTTCCACCCACTTCTGTCCAGCTTTGCAGCAGCGAAGTCGTGATGTCTGTTTGGAGCACGGCTTCTGTCAGCCCATCTCCATTCTTCTCTGAGAAGACATTGCATGCAGTCGGACCATCATACCGAACCTCCCGGGACACATAAACCGGGAGGAGACCAGGCTCGAGGTGCGCACGGTTCTGGAGCAGACCATCCATTTTGGACATTCGGTATGGTTAAACCATGTTGCTGCATCTGAACTTGCCCGTCCATGCCAACTTCATTGCTTTTGGATTCTAAATAGCCGTGTCTTTATAAATACATCTCATCTTCTGTTTATGGGGATTAAGTGCTGCATTATAAACCCTAGCAATTATACTTCTGCCACAAAGAACACTCTGAAATGTTTGATTGCAATGCTTTTATTGTTGTCTGGTATTCAGCCTAATCCTGGCCCTCTAACATCATGCAGTATTCTAACAGACTTTAAAAACAGGCCAGGATTACATATTGTGCATATTAATTCAAAAATGTTCAAGACAAAAACAACTGGACTTTATTTGTAACAGAAGACGTTTCGCTTCCCATCTGAGAAGTTTTTTAAATTCAAAGAGCAGAGTGTTGGGGAACATTACCTCAGAAACCACCTCATCTCAAACAAACATCATTCATGTGTTTTGTGCTTAAACTGTTTAAAACCAAGATGCATCTATTCCCTTGGGAACAAACAGACTTTGCTTTACAGGTGTCCAGCTCAGCTTACTAACTTCTTAGTTGACAATAATGAAAGTGTAATTAAAAAAAAACTGTTACTGTGCAAACTTCACTGCCAATATGAACTCATTTCCCATGAAACGGACCGATCGTTTAATAAGTTTTGGTTCAACTGACCTCGAAGTTGAAACATCTGCTGAGACTTCAACTTTTATCAAAAGAAAGGAGTATTACTCCCAGGATGGGTTCCCATGAAGATAACACATTTTAAAGAACCCTTTGTTTAAATGACATTTTCTTGTCAGGAGATGAACAGCGACAGCTTTTGATGAACATTGCATGTTATTTCAAAATATGTCACATCTGAATGTTTATTTATGAAAATGTGTGTTTTAAGTAATCTCTTTAAGATAATCATTTGTTTTAGTTTTTTCCTTTTAAAAGAAGAGTGACTTTTTAAAGGCAGACAGAGAAAATGGACTTTAGATGTTATAAAACATGACAAAGAGTTAGGACCATCCCTCTTCTGAGAGGTGGACCAAAGTCAATCTGTAACACACAGACAGTTAAGTTAAGTTTCACTTCTTCACTTCTCCTTCGTCTTCACTTCTCCTTCGTCTTCACTACAACTTCAATCACCGCTTCTACTTCTACACAACCCACTTCAACTTCCTCCTGGTGAGATATCCTAAGAAGGAAGAGAACGGGAGAGAAGCAGCTCACACGTCTCAGGACGAGAGAACCTGACCGAACCAGAGCCATCGCACCGCAGAGTGGTAAACCCCAGCTGACTTCAGAGCCAGTGGCCGGACCTTCGTCCCTCCAACGGTGACCGGTGACTTTTGAGGACACAATCCGCCTTTCAGTCACCGGAGCATCTCAGGCCTTGCTGGTATCATTTTAAGCAGTTGTGGAACATTCTGACAGCTCGTTCTGGTGATAGAGAAACCCTTCAATGCCTTTCTGGTGATCATACATCACAACAGTCTTACTTTACACACACTGCAGCTCATTTAGACACAAGTGTAATTACTCCACAAACAGAACCAGTCCAAAAATTCTGTCTTTTTGAAGTTTCACTGATTTGAATAATCAAGTAGACCTTTGATACAAAGCTATTTGTTATTCGTTTGTTATGCATAATTTTCCTCAGATATATCACAGATTATTATTTTTGTAATAAAATACATAAAATCAACTAAATTTGTGATTATTTTGGCATATCTGTGCGTATTAACTGATTTGATGCCCTTTAAACACGAGAAAAGAATTCACGTTTCAGTTTACATTTAATTTGGGGTTAGAGACTGATTTTTCCTCTGAAAGAGGTCGTGCCCATACACAACTAGGTTATTTGCATAATAAATGCATATCTTATGAGCTTAACTCATAACTGATAATTTACAATATATATCCAGCCC